AGGTCGATGAACGCCTTGTACGACAAAGTCTGGAAGAAGTTTTCCGCCTGGAAGGTCAGAAACGAGGCACCGGGTGCCCCCATTTTGCATACAGTTCTTGAATTCCTTCAAGCCGGGGCGGATAAGAATCTGGCCGCCAATACCCTCAAAGTACAGGTAGCGGCTCTGTCGAACTTTCTGGAGCTGAGGTTGGCGGCAGACCCATTAGTAATCAGATTCCTGAAGGCTATCTCCAGGCGCCGTGCCCCGTCCATGCCAAAATACCCCACATGGGACCTGGGCACAGTCCTGAAGAGCTTTCAGCAAGGGCCTTTCGAACCGCTGGATGAGTGTTCGCTCAGATCTTTGACTCTTAAAACCATCCTCCTCACAGCATTAGTTTCTGCCCGCAGAGTCAGCGAGTTGCATGCCCTTTCAGTGATTGAGCCGTACTGCACCATCTTATTGGATAGAATCATCCTCCGCACGGACGCGACCTTTCTACCTAAGGTCGCGTCACACTTCCATAGATCTCAGGAAATAGTAATACCTTCCCTGGAGGCCGATCCGGGCAGCACGGAGGACTATAGCAGGTTAGACGTTAAAAGATGTTTGATTACATACATCGAACGCACAAAGACACGGAGACACTCGTCCGGCTTTTCGTCCTATTCCAGGGGCCAAGGAAGGGGGACGGTGCCTCCAAGGGCACCATCGCCAGATGGATCAGGGAGGCAGTTTCGGAAGGTTACAAGACGGCGGGCCTGTCACCACCGCCCGGCCTAAAAGCACACTCCACGAGGGCCACCGCGGCCTCCTGGGGGGAAAAAGGGGGGGCCTCCCCCGGACAGATCTGCAGAGCCGCAACGTGGTCCAGTTTCGCCACCTTTACTAAGCATTACAGGCTGGATCTGATCAGCAGGAAGGACCAGGCATTTGGCAGGAAGGTCCTACAAGCAGGGTGCCCGCCCTAATGTACGTATTTCTATTCTACTCCTCTCAAGTGAGCTGTCCTAGAAGATGACTAGGGAAAACGCAGTTATTTACCTGTTAACTGTATTTCCAGGAATCTTCTAGGACAGCGTAACTCCCCCCCGATTACTGTATGATCACACAATTATGTGCAGGTATGTTGCGAACCTATGAGGGGATATCTTTATTACCGGTTTACTTCTTTGTTTTCTCCTAGGCCTTCGGTCATATTCTTATACTGGGGGCCAATGGGAGAGAGGACGCCTATAAAGGGAAAAAAAGGTGGAGCGGGGTGTTTCCTGGGAGGAGCCCTATCTCTCAAGTGAGCTGTCCTAGAAGATTCCTGGAAATACAGTTAACAGGTAAATAACTGCGTTTTTCTTTATGTGCAAGACTTCATACAGAACCATGTTTTCCAAACTTTGATTTGCTAGAGGTTCCCAATAACAACAGGTAGATGGACTAACAACTACACATAATTAAAGAAAAATCTATAAAAAATGATCAGAGGTGTGTCACTACAAGCAGCCAGGTTTATTATTTGTTAAATTGTATTTTGCTGAAGATCTGCGATTGTTTCACCAGCCCAACCTCTTCTTTAGGTAACTAGTAGCATAGGGGCAACAGCAGTGTGTGTACATGCAAAATCATTAAGCCAGTGTACACTGAACAAAATCAGAAGTCATGTAGCTGGATACAGATGTCCAGGGTCAGCAGCAGAGGTACAGAAGCACATTTTACATATGCAAGAATACATTCTGGCAATTAGGTAGATGGTGCTGGATCCTGAAGTTAGAAGTAGATGATTGGTGTCCATATTGCTGTCACTGTTATGTTAATATGATCCTTGTGGAACATCCAGTTGGTAGGTAGGCCACTTCCACAAACTGAGGGGTCACCACTGTAACTCTGAATTGTATAAACAAAACTCTGATCTGGATATTGAAGTGCCACACCATAAGATTATATTTAGAAAGAAGTTTATTGATTGTGTGTCATAGTCAACATGTCTTGGGGGCCAAAACATCCCCTTCATCAGGGCCAAAATAAGGCATTAAATGTAAAAATAGATACTAAATAAATACTAAAACTGCTCACTAAAGAAATAGTGAGATAAAACATATGTATGATACTTCCAAAAATATACTTGAATAAAAGAGTTGGACTAATAAAATTACTCATATTTAATATTTGACAAATTTTATTGGTCCAACTTTTTTTCTCAAGTATATATTTAATAGAAACATCTGTATGTATATATACACACACACACACACACACACACACACACACACACACACACACACACACATATATACTGTGAACAGTTTTAGTATTTAATTTTTATGTTTCTATATTTAATGTGCTATTTTAGCCTTGATGAAGTTGGTGATTTTGGGCCTTTGAAATGCATTAGCTACTACACTCAATCAATACACCTTTTACTGAATATAACCTTACAGTGTTGCTCTTCTGTCTTAGTAATAGGAAGGAATGACGTCAGGAGTAGGCCAAGTTCAGCAACAACCAAACAAGTAGGATCCAAATCAGTAGAGAAATGCAAGGTCAAACAAAAGGAACAGGACAAAAAGTGGAGTACAAAGTCACAAAGCAAAAGCAGGATCAGAAGGCAGGTGAGAGCCAGCAAAAGTGAAGTAGAGGTTCAAGTATGCAGGAAAGGGGAAGTCAAGGATAATCCAGAAACCCAGCAATTCTTAAAGCTGAGGGCTGGTCATGCCACAAGGGTATAGCTAAACGCCAGTTAGTATTGTGGGTTAGATAAAGTCTGATAGTAGTGCTTTTAATATTGCCAAGACCAATGCCAAGCATGCCTATCTATGTATACATTAGTTGATACATGGATGCCCACACCATTATACACAGGTACATTTAAATGTTCAGGTGCTGGTGCAAGTTGGTTAGCAATACTTCGCTGATAGGTATGTTCCACTGTACCCCTTTGTTGGGTCTCAGCAATATTTTATTATTATTATTAGACAAGATTTATATAGCAGCAATAGTTTGCTCAGCGCTTTACAATATAAAGGGAGACAATACTGCAATGATACAGTTCAATACAAGAGTGTTAGGAGGGCCCTGCTCCTTGGAGCTTATAATCTAAGAGGGAGGGGCTGGTGGTACAAAAGGTAATAACTGTGGGGGATGAACTGATAAGAGGAATAGAAGATTCCGTTATTAGCTGAATGTGGGATAGGCTTCCCTGAAGAGATAGGTTTTCAGAGATCGCCTAAAATTGGGCAGAGTAGGCAATAGGCTGATAGATTGGGGTAGAGAGTTCCAAAGGAGGGGGAGGCTCTGGATAAGTCCTGGAGATGAGCATGGGAGGAGGGGACAAGGGAGCTAGAGAGCAGGAGCTCATGGGAGGAGCGGAGAGGACAGTTTGGATGATATTTGGAAACAAGATTGGTGATGTAATTTGGGGCAGAGTTATAAATGGCTTTATATATGTTATTGTTAATGTTTTGAATTTTATTCATTGGGCAATGAGAAGCCAGTGGAGGGATTGGCAGGGAGGGATGGCAGATATGGAATGGTTAGTAAGGTGGATGAGTCTGGCAGTATTCATGATAGACTGAAGAGGGGATAGACTGTGATTAGGTAGGCCAATGAGAAGGGAGTTGCAATAATCAAGGCGAGACATAACAAGGGAGTGAATAAGTTGCTTAGTAGTTTACAAGGTTAAGAATGGGCAAATCTTGGAGGTGAAGTCTACAAGATTTGGACAGTGATTTGATTTGGGGGTGAAAGGACAGATGGGAGTCTAGGATTACACCTAGTACCCTGGCATGAGGTGAGGGACTGATGGTTGTATTATTGATCTTGATGGAGAAGTCAGGGGAGGGGGCATGAGCTGGAGGGAATAGTATGAGCTCTGTTTTGGAAAGATTTAGTTTGAGGAAGTGGAGTGACATCCATGCTGATATGTCACTTAGTAGGTTAGTAATGCGAGAGGAGCCTGAAGGGGTGAGGGGAGGAGTAGAAAGATAGATTTGTGTGTCATCAGCATAGAGATGGTACTTAAAGCCATGGGAGTTTATCAAGTGACCAACGGAAGAGGTGTAGATGGAGAAAAGAAGGGGTCCAAGGATAGAACCTTGAGTCATACAGCCCATCAGTTGCAGAGTGGAAAAGAGAAGGGTTTAAGTTGTGAAGGTTTCTGCGGGTAATTGTTTGCTGCTTGGAGGGATAAGTGTTTGAAGACGAGGACACTGTGAAGGTGATGAGATTGTGAACAGAGAGAGGAAGGGGTGTGTTTTTGAGCTTGTAGGGAGTGCAAAGATGGGAGAAAACAAGGTCTAATATATTCCCATCAGAATGAGTGTATCCATTGTGTTAAGGCAAAAGATGAGGTTAGGTTGAAGAGTTGGGATGTAGCTGGGTTATTCACATTAATGGGGATGTTAAAATCTCCAAGAATATTTGAGACAGAACAAATTTTATAAACCTTCTTAAACACTAGCACATTGTATGAAACAGTCAACATGGTCAATTATTATTTGTACTTTTGAAGTTTGCTGCCTATAACAGCCATGTTATATGCACTAGTTTACGTTATGTCTCTTTACAGCAGCGGTTCTCAACCTGGGGGTCGAACGACCCTTTCACAGGGGTCGCCTAAGACCATCGGAAAACACATATTTCCGATGGTCTTAGGAACCGAGACACCGCTCCTCTATCAGTCTCCAGGTGTGGGCGGGATGACATGCCGCCCCTGTCATCTGAACACCCCCCCGGGATCAATCCTCGCCTTTGATTGGCCGCCGAAACTGTAACTCAGGAGAAGCACACATGCGGCCAATCACCGGCGAGGAGGTGGAGCTTGGAGAGGAGGAGCCGAGCGGCACCGCGAAGATCGAGCGAGTGAAGAGGAGGAGAGCGGCCGGAGAAGGAAGACAGCTGACCGGTAAGTTTCTCTACCATGGGAGAGGGAGGAAGCGAGCGAGAGCGGGAGAGGGAGGAAGCGAGCGAGCCCAGGCTGGAGCAGGGGTCAGCAAGGTAAGTATCATTGGTGTCAGTGGGAGGAATAGTGCCCAATCATTGGTGTCACTAATACCAATGATGGGGCACTATTCCTCCCACTGACACCAACAATGGGGCACTATTCCTCCCCCCACTGACATAAACGATGGGGCACTATTCCTCCCACTGCCACCAACGATGGGGCACTATTCCTCCCCCCACTGACATCAACGATGAGGCACGATTCCTCCCCCAAATGACATCAACGATGGGGTACTATTCCTCCCCCCACTGACACCAAGGATGAGGCATGATTCCTCCCCCCAAATGACACCAAGGATGAGGCACTATTCCTCCCCCCACTGACACCAACGATGGCGCACTATTCCTCCCTCCACTGACACCAAGGATGAGGTACGATTCCTCCCCCAAATGACACCAAGGATGGGGCACTATTCCTCCCCCCACTGACACCAAGGATGAGGCACGATTCCTCCCCCAAATGACACCAAGGATGAGGCACTATTCCTCCCCCCACTGACACCAAGGATGGGGCACTATTCCTCCCCCCACTGACACCAAGGATGCGGCACTATTCCTCCCCCCCACTGACACCAAGGATGCTGCACTATTCCTCCCCCCACTGACATCAAGGATGGGGCACTATTCCTCCCCCCACTGACACCAAGGCTGGGGCACTATTCCTCCCCCCACTGACACCAATGATGGAGGCACTATTCCTCCCCCCACTGACACCAGTGTTGGGGTACTTTTCCCCCCACTGACACCAGTGATGGGACACTTTTCCTCCCACTGACACCAGTGATGGGACACTTTTCCTCCCACTGACACCAGTGATGGGGCACTATTCCCCCTACTGACACCAGTGATGGGGCACTATTCCCCCCACTGACACCAGTGATGGGACACTTTTCCTCCCACTGACACCAGTGATGGGACACTTTTCCTCCCACTGACACCAGTGATGGGACACTTTTCCTCCCACTGACACCAGTGATGGGGCACTATTCCCCCCACTGACACCAGTGATGGGGCACTATTCCCCCCACTGACACCAGTGATGGGGCACTATTCCTCCCACTGGCACCAGTGATGGGGCACTATTCCCCCCACTGACACCAATAATGGGGCACTATTCCTCCCCCCACTGACACCAAGGATGGGGCACTATTCCTCCCCCCACTGACACCAAGGATGGGGCACTATTCCTCCCCCCACTGACACCAAGGACGGGGCACTATTCCTCCCCCCACTGACACCAAGGATGGGGCACTATTCCTCCCCCCACTGACACCAATGATGGAGGCACTATTCCTCCCCCCACTGACACCAGTGATGGGGTACTTTCCTCCCACTGACACCAGTGATGGGACACTTTTCCTCCCACTGACACCAGTGATGGGACACTTTTCCTCCCACTGACACCAGTGATGGGACACTTTTCCTCCCACTGACACCAGTGATGGGGCACTATTCCCCCCACTGACACCAGTGATGGGGCACTATTCCCCCCACTGACACCAGTGATGGGGCACTATTCCCCCCACTGGCACCAGTGATGGGGCACTATTCCCCCCACTGACACCAGTGATGGGGCACTATTCCCCCCACTGGCACCAGTGATGGGGCACTATTCCCCCCACTGGCACCAATGATGGGGCACTATTCCTCCCACTGGCACCAATGATGGGGCACTATTCCTCTCACTGGCACCAATGATGGGGCACTATTCCTCCCACTGGCACCAATGATGGGGCACTATTCCTCCCACTGGCACCAATGATGGGGCACTATTCCTCCCCACTGACACCAATGATGGGGCACTATTCCTCCCACTGACACCAATGATGGGGCACTATTCCTACCACTGGCACCAATGATGGGGCACTATTCCTACCACTGATACCAATGATGGGGCACTATTCCTCCCACTGACACCAATGATGGGGCACTATTCCCCCCACTGACACCTATGATGGGGCACTATTCCCCCCACTGGCACCAATGATGGGGCACTATTCCCCCCACTGGCACCAATGATGGGGCACTATTCCTCCCACTGGCACCAATGATGGGACACTATTCCTCCCACTGGCACCAATGATGGGGCACTATTCCTCCCACTGGCACCAATGATGGGGCACTATTCCTCCCCACTGTCACCAATGATGGGGCACTATTCCTCCCACTGACACCAATGATGGGGCACTATTCCTACCACTGGCACCAATGATGGGGCACTATTCCTACCAATGATGGGGCACTATTCCTACCACTGATACCAATGATGGGGCACTATTCCTCCCACTGATACCAATGATGGGACACTATTCCTACCACTGACACCAATGATGGGGCACTATTCCTCCCACTGGCACCAATGATGGGGCACTATTCCTCCCACTGGCACCAATGATGGGGCACTATTCCTACCACTGACACCAATGACGTGGCACTACTCCTTCCACTGCAAAATTACAGTTATGAAGTAGCAACGAAAATAATTTTATGGTTGGGGGTCACCACAACATGAGGAACTGTATTAAAGGGTCGCGGCATTAGAAAGGTTGAGAACCACTGCTTTACAGTCTTGTCCTATTTATCTAACATAGATGTACACTGCTCAAAAAAATTAAAAGAACACTTTGAAAGCATATCAGTGGGGAAAAATATCATGCTGGATATCTATACTGATATGAACTGGGTAATGTGTTAGGAAAGTAAGGATGCCCCATCGTTTGATAGAAATGAAAATTATCAACCTACAGAGGACTGAATTTAAAGACACCCCAAAATCAAAGTAAAAAAAATGAAGCAGCAGGCTAGTCCATTTTGCTGAAATTTCATTACAGCAACTCAAAATGGTACTCAGTAGTTTGTATGGCCCCCACGTGCTTGTATACATGCCTGACAACATCGGGGCTTGCTTCTAATGAGACAATGGATGGTGTCCCAGGGTATTTCCTCCCAGATCTGAACCAGGGCATCACTGAGCTCCTGGACAGTCTGAAGTGCAACCTAGCAGTGTTGGATGGACAGAAACATGATACCCCAGAGGTGTTCTATTGGATTTAGGTCAGGTGAGCTTGGGGGCCATTCAATGGTTTCATTTCCTTCATCCTCCAGAAACTGCCTGCATACTCTCGGCACATGAGGCTGGGCATTGTCGTGCACCAGGAGGAACCCAGGACCCACTGCACCAGCGTAGGCTCTGACAATGGGTCCAAGGATTTCATCCCGATACCTAATGGCAGTCAGGGTGCCATTGTCTAACCTGTAGAGGTCTGTGCGTCTCTCCATGGATATGCCTCCCCAGACCATCACTGACCCACCACCAAAACGGTCATGCTGAATGATGTTACAGGCAGCATAATGTTCTCCACAGCTTCTCCAGACCCTTTCATGTCTGTTACATGTGCTCAGGGTGAACCTGCTCTCTTTTGTGAAAAGCACAGGGCACCAGTGGCAAACCTGCCAATTCTGGTGTTCAATGGCAAATGCCAATCAAGCTCCATGGTGCCGGGCAGTGAACACAGGGCCCACTAGAGGATTTCAGCCCTCTGGCCACCCTCATGAAGTCTGTTTCTGATTGTTTGCTCAGAGACATTCATACCAGTTGCCTGCTGAAGGTCATTTTGTAGGACTCTGGCAGTGCTCATCCTGTTCCTCCTTGCACAAAGGAGCAGATACCGGATCTGCTGATGGGTTAAGGACCTTCTACGGCCCTGTTCAGCTCTCTTAGAGTAACTACCTGTCGCCTGGAATTTCCTCCATGCTCTTGAGACACAGAATACCTTCTGGCAATGGCACATATTGATGTGCCATCTTGGAGGAGTTGGACTACTTGTGCGACCTTCGTAGGGCCCAGGTATTGCCTCATGCTACCAGTAATGACACTGACCCTAGCCAATGCAAAACTAGTGAAAAACAGTCAGAAAAGATGAGCAGGGAAAAAAATGTCAGTGGCATCCACTTTTAAAACCATTCCTGTTTTGGGGGTCGTCTCTTTGTTGCCCATCTAGTGCACCTGTTAATTTAATTAACACCAAAGCAGCTGAAACTAATTAACAACCTCCTCTGCTACTTAACTGACTATGTCTATATCCCAGGAGTTTAATTGACTCAGATTATAAAGTGTTCCTTTAATTTTTTTGAGCAGTGTATACTCCCTTTAACCTTCCCATGCGAACCCATGGTGGATATCATTCGTTTATCTTCAACCCTTCCTTTAGCTGACACTTCAAACTTATGTAATTATTTAGTTTGCTACTTGTATTACTTAAGACTGGAAACCATCACTAAAGTAAGCATACGCTCTTAAAGGCATACTTATACATAATGTGCTTTGCTAACTACAGTCATTATGTGCAGCAAATATTTGTAAAAAATGTTTCTTGTGTATCAGAAATGGCTAGCCCCTTTTTTATAATGTTACCACTACAATAATGTTAAAAGTTAAAATAAAATACTGTATTTTCCGGCGTATAAGACGACTGGGCGTATAAGACGACCCCCTACTTTTCCTGTTAAAATATAGGGTTTGAGCTATACTCGCCGTATAAGACTACCCCTCTTCCAACGCACACCAAATAAAAATACATCAGATTTGATTTCAATATGGTATGCTATTTCAGTATGGTATTCCAATGATGGGGCACTATTCCTCCCCACTGACACCAATGATGAGGCACTACTCCTCCCACTGACACCAATGATGGGGCACTATTTCATCCACTGACACCAATGATGGGGCACTATTCCTCCCACTGATACCAATGATGGGACACTATTCCTCCCACTGACACCAATGATGGTGCCCCATCATTAGTGTCAGTGTGTGAGGAATAGTGCCCCATCATTAGTCAGTGGGAGGAATAGTGCCCCATCATTAGTCAGTGGGGGGAATAGTGCCCCATCATTGGTGTCAGTGGGAAGAATCGTGCCCCATCATTGGTGTCAGTGGGAGGAATAGTGCCCCATCATTGGTGTCACCGGCGTATAAGACGACCCCCGACTTTTCAGAAGATTTTCAGGGGTTGAAAAGTCGTCTTATACGCCGGAAAATACGGTATAAACTTTTATATATTGAATATTTTGACTTTTTCATTTCTGTTTTCTTAAAGATTACATCTGATGTCTGTTGATTTGAAAATATGGACATCAACAGCTTTGTCATTCTTATGGCAATCTTTAAAGTTTAGGGAAATCTGGTAACCATAACTAAGGTGTGCCTTTTCTTTTATGTGACAGTGTTGTGCAAAGTACATGAGGCTTTGTACCAAATACAGTAACAAGAATGTTTATGACCAGTCATAACCAACTTAATACATAGTTATAATAATTACATACAGATGTTCCTTCAAGTTGCTGAACATGTTCAGTTGATACTAGGGTATGCAAGGACATTAGGAAATGAATACTAAATGCAAAAGACATGTTTTTGCTATGGAACATTACTAAACATGTATAACTGTTTATTTGATCTACAGGTGAAACTCGAAAAAATTAGAATATTGTGCAAAAGTTCATTTATTTCAGTAATGCAACTTAAAAGGTGAAACTAATATATGAGATAGACTCATTACATGCAAAGCAAAATAGTTCAAGCCGTGATTTGTCATAATTGCGATGATTATGGTTTACAGCTCATGAAAACCCCAAATCCTCAATCTCAGAAAATTAGAATATTACATGCAATCAATAAAACATTGATTGTACATAGAACAATATCGGACCTCTGAAAAGTAAAAGCATGCATATGTACTTGGTTTGGGCCCCTTTTGCAGCAAATCCCTGCCTCAATGCGGTGTGGCATGGAAGCTATCAGCCTGTGGCACTGCTGATGTGTTATGGAAGACCAAGATGCTTCAATAGCGGCCTTCAGCTCTTCTGCATTGTTCGGTCTCATGTCTCTCATCTTTCTCTTGGGATTGCCCCATAGATTCTCTATGGGGTTCAGGTCAGGCGAGTTTGCTGGCCAATCAAGCACAGTAATCGCATGGTCATTGAACCAGGTTTTGGTGCTTTTGGCAGTGTGGGCAGGTGCCAAGTCCTGCTGGAAAATGAAGTCAGCATCCCCATAAAGCTCATCTGAGGAAGGAAGCCTGAAGTGCCCCAAAATCTCCTGGTAGATGGCTGCATTGACCCTGGACTTAATGAAGCCCAGTGGACCAACACCAGCAGATGACATGGCTCCCCAAATGAACACAGACTGTGGAAACTTCACACTGGACTTCAAGCATCTTGCAGTGTGCACCTCTCCATTCTTCCTCCATACTCTGGGTCCTTGGTTTCCAAATGAGATGCAAAAGTTGCTCTCATCAGAAAAGAGGACTTTGGAAAACTTGGAGCAACAGACCAGGTCTGTTTTTCTTTAGCCCAGGTAAGACGCTTCTGACGTTGTTTGTTGTTCAGGAGTGGCTTGACAAGAGGAATACGACATTTGAAGCCCATGTCCAGGATCCGTCTGTGTGTGGTGGCTCTTGATGCACTGACTCCAGCCTCAGTCCACTCCTTGTGAAAGTGCCCAACACTTTTGAATGGCCTTTTCCTGACAATCCTCCCCAGACTGCGGTCATCCCTGCTGCTTGTGCACCTTTTTCTTCCACACTTTTCCCTTCCACATAACTTTCTATTAATGTGCTTTGATACAGCACTTTGGGAACATCCAACTTCTTTTTGCAATTACCTTTTGAGGCTTTCCCTCCTTGTGGAGGGTGTCAATGATGGTTTTCTGCACAACTGTCAGGTCAGCAGTCTTTCCCATGATTGTGATTCCTACTGAACCAGACTGAGAGACCATTTAAAGGCTCAGGAACCTTTTGCAGGTGTTATGGCTTAATTAGCTGATTAGAGTGGGACACTTTGAGCCTAGAATATTGCACCTTTTCACAATATTCTAATTTTCTGAGATTGTGAATTTGGGGTTTTCATGAGCTGTAAGCCATAATCATTACAATTATGACAAATCACGGCTCGAACTATCTTGCTTTGCATGTAATGAGTCTATCTCTTATATTAGTTTCACCTTTTAGGTTGCATTACTGAAATAAATGAGCTTTTGCACGATATTCTAATTTTTTGAGTTTCACCTGTAGATGCATGTTGAGCATTACATTATACCAGTTTAAAAGGTTCCTTAAATCAATCTGATGGTTTGATCACATGTGTACTTTTACAGCTTCATCATTCATCTTTCACATGCACAATAAAAATGTTTATTAACCTATTAGTGACCATAAAGATGCTTTAACCAAAATGTACTGTATTGATTATACCAAAATATGTAGATTCTTCTTTAGTATCTGAAATATTACTGAGTAGAAATATGTTTTTGTTTCTCCCAGGAGTTACTTGTGTTAGCCTTGAAGCAGTGCAACAGAGCTTGAAATTAACATAGGCACTCAAGACCATCTGACATGTTGTATTACTCTACATGTCATGTTTGAATGAAAAAAGTGGCAAAAACCTCCTTTAAACATGTGGTATATGCAAATATAAGTGTTTTAGAAAGTATAGCTATACTATTGTGCATATGACACTGTACTATTTAATTATAGGTTATATATAGTATGTTTCTGATCTATATATTTGTATTGTCCAGTATGCTTTATTAACAGAAACTATTAAAAATAAATGTATTGCAGGTTTTTGCCACCTGATGCTTTTAAGCTTGCCGACCAGTCACGTATCTGGTATGTCACTGATGTTCAAGTGGTTGTACCAGGGTGACACGTGCAGTTGCAGGCATCACCCCAGTACCATTTTTTAGAGCTGGTGGTCTGTTCTCTTGTAATAGTGATCAGAGCAGCTAAGTAGCTGCTCAGTCACTATTACAAGCAACAAGAGGGGACGTCCCCCCTCCTGCTGCCTTCTACTGCTTGCTTGGGCTCTCTTGTCCCACCAGGAGACCGGAGCAGCCAGCCAGTGCACCCGCCAAATTAAGATGGGATAGATTTTGATTGGCTCTCCACTATGGTAACCTGAAAGTGATGACTTGTCATCACTTCCGGTTTACCTGGATGTTAATGGAGAGCCATTTATGAAAGCTCAAAAGCATTCAAAAAGACCAATCTTGGTGTTTTAAAGGCTTTTAAATGCAAAGAAGGAATCTGGGGTCTTGTAGACCCCATGCGATTTTAAAGCGTGACCTGTTTAGTATTTATTTACTCGCCGTAACATCATCTTCTATATATTACAAAAAATGTAATTATGGATTGTGTTTTTTTGCTTTTACATTTCAGAAAAGTGTTTTTTTTCCCAAAAAGTTGCATTTCAAAAACTTCTGCGCAAATACCATCTGACATAAAATATTGAAAAACCCACCAATTTATTTTCTAGGGCCTCTGCTTTAAAAATATATACATTTTGGGGGTTACAAGTAATTTTCTAGCTAAATAAACCTGATTGTTACATGTGAACAAAAAGTTCAAGAAAAAGCCTGGCCCTTAAGTAATTGAATTCCACCTAAGAAATCAACCATAACAGAAACTTTGTGAAAAAATAGAAATTTCATTTTTGGTGCCATCTCATTTCCTTGCAACATCTAACAGACACGTTTGCTGTGATCATCATTTGAAAATATTACCCATCTTTAAGTCCTCATGCACACAGGGCGTTTTTGCATCCACTTTTACTGGCATCAGACATTTTTTTTTAACTGCTTTCAAACGGCCCTCCATATTATCCTATGTGTCCATGCACACATAGATGTTTAGGAGCTTTTAGTAGCAGAAAAAAAAAACGAGGGCCAGTGCATCCAAGAGCAGCAGTGTTTGGCAGAAAAAATGCTGACAGCTCCTAAACTCTACTAAACTCTGCTAAACACCTGTGCCCAGCATTTAGCAGAGTTTTGTTTTCACTGGTTATTAAGGAGAGGGTCGGGAAGCCAGCTTCCCCATCCTTAACAATGGATGAGAATGCTCTCACCATCTGGCAGCTCTGTCATCTGACGGCTCTTAAATAATCAAGGGGTGGGGCCATTGGGTGATGTCACCGAGAGACCCTGCCCACCTGTGACATCACTGACCCAGCATGCCCTGTGTTGTTAAAGGGGGCTTCCAGATTCCGATAAGCCCCCACTCACAGACCCCCACAACCACCGGCCAGGAGGCACTTGTCCTCATCAACATGGCGACAAGTTGCTTTTGGGGGGGGACCTCCTGCCCCAAAGCACCTCCCCATGTTGAGGGCATGTGGCCTGGTATGGTTCAGGAAGGGGGGCCTCACTCATCCCCCCTTTCCTGACCTGCCAGGTTGCATGCTTGGATAAGGGTCTGGTAAAGATTGGGGGGGGACCCCTTGCCATTTTTTCTGCATTTTTTTATTACCAGCATTTTGTTTCTACATTCAGCTGTCAGTGTGGAATCCCGCTGACAGCTGATACTCATCCGTTGTTAAGGACACAGCTTCCCGGCCCTCTCTGTAACAACAGCCCAACTTCTTAAAGCTGAAGCTAATAAACATAGCTTACACACTAGGCTAAACACTGCTAAATGCCACAAATGCCGGCAAGAAACACCTTTTTTTTGTCCAGCATTTCTAAAGCAGTTTTTAGTTTCTTTAATGTGCATGAGACCTAAGTGCTCAGAATGAATGGTTGTCTGGTAAACACATCTACTAAAGGGCTTCATCAATATTTTAATGAATATTTCTTTCCAGTTAATTCTATGAAGAGTTTAAAGAGTACAGAAAAATGAAAAAGACACTTAGCAGTACGTTAAAAATAAATAATACATTTAGAACAATTGCAATCATTCGTTATCAAACTATCCTTAAATATGTTTACCATGTTTCACTGGAATCTGGGAACACCATAGTAACAGTGGCTGCACCATGAAATGCATCCATTGTTTAAAAATCAGCTCAGATTCCAAAGATGCCTTATGAGGATTCATAGAAATCATTGGACCTAAGGATGACCTTGAGGTGCTGTTTACTCCAAAATGAATGCCTTGTCATGACTGACAATTAGCCACTGTTAT